GGAGCCCTGGCCGGGGCTCACCACCCTCCCCCCGGGGCTCCGGCTGCCCTCCCCTGCCACGCGGGGGAGGGGGGGGGCGGCTGGAGGCTTTTTCGCCTGGGGCGGCAAAAAAGCCAGAGCCGGCCCTGATAGGATGTATTTGCATAGATTTACTGGGTGCACAATGCACAGGTGTAGGAAGACAGACAAATGGGCAGAACGAGGAAGGATGAGATAACAATATAATAGGATGTATTTGCATAGATTTTCTGGGTGCACAATGCACAGGTGTAGGAAGACAATCAGTAGCAGAGCCAGTTTTGTTCAAATTTAACATACACACAAAATCACCCTTGTGCTGAGAGCAAGCATGAAAAACTTCAGCCTAAAAAGAATGTTTGCTATGAAAGGAGCATTTTCACCTCAACAATAGCATGCACTGGCATGTCTGCTGCAATAGAGGAATCATTCCCTACAGGGCCGGCTCTAGGCACCAGCAAAGCAAGCAGTTGCTTGGGGTGGCAAATTTGCAGGGGTGCAAGAATCTAGCATGGGAGCTGAGAACCAACAGGGGGCCCTGGGAGCTGTAGTTCGTTGGTTAGCTCCCTGCCTATAGAGCCAGCCCTGGAGCAGGGAAAGAACTACATTTCCCAGCATTCCCTCATCTGCAATTAACAGGAAAAGGAGGGGGAAGGCGTGTGGAACTGAAACCTCATGCTGCAGCTTGCTGTGAATGGTAGGGATAGAGACAGTTCTAGGTTTTTTGCTGCTCCCCCACCCCAGCCCTGGGCTCCCCCCGCACCTCCATGTTGCCCCATCCCTGGACTCTCCCCTGCCCACACCCCCTGCTGCCCCAGCTCTGGCCCCCACCTGCACCCCCTGCTGCCCCAGCCCTGGACCTCTCCCCCGCCCACGTCCCCTGCCGCCCCAGCTCTGGCCCCCACCTGCACCTCCTGCCGCCCCAGCTCTGGGCTCTCCCCCAAAGAAAGAATTGGGTGGACTAAATGGACAGTGCACCTCTCTATCTGAAGCCTAGCAAGGGAGATCCCACTAGAATTTAAAATGAAAAGTAAGGGAGGGGAGGCTCTACTAGGACTTGGGCAGCTTTAGATACAGTACAATGCACGTAGGAGGATTTACACTTCTGAGCCATGGAAGCAGAAACTGACTTTTCTTTTCCAGATTTAGCTAATATTCAGAAAGGGAATCTAGCACCTGCCTTCCAGATTTGAACACCCTCAAAATTCAGGAGTGCTCACGCTCAATTTGAGCAGCTGTTACTTCATTTCTCCCAAATCAAATATACTGATCCACTGTAACTTGCTGTAGAAAAAGTAGAATAAACTGAGCAAGAAATGCTTCCCAGTGGCTATTAGGACTGGAATTGCTATTTTCAACAGCCATTGTTTGTTTGTTTGTTTGTTTTTAGTTTTAGTTTTATTTGTTTAAAAGGAAGACAGTGATATTGCATTGGCAAATTCCCCATAGAAACAAAGAATGGAACAAAAGAATAATAAAGGCACCTCAACGTTTCCTCATTTATCTAGGACAGCCTTATAATCTGCATCCAGATATCCTCCAATCACACAAGCTGAAAATTGTTCCACTTTACTGCAGTTCTGTAACCATATGGGAACTAATCCTGTCTGTGTTCTGTGCACATCCAAAATTCCTGCTGAATGACCCGCCCTGGGAGTGAGTTACTGGTGACCCAGGGCTGGGGCGGCAGGAGGGAGCAGTTGGGGGGGGGGGGAGAGCGCAGGGCTGGGGTGGGGCAGCCAAAAATTTTTTTGCTTGGGGCAGCAAAAAACCTAGAGCCTGATTCCCTACTGGAGTGGAATGTGGATGCCAGGAGGGCTGAACAATTTGTATAATGGGGGTGCTGAGGGCCGTTGAACCAAACTGTAAACCCTGGATATGATGGAAACCGCTTCAAGCCAAGAGGTGCTGCAGCACCCCCAGCACCCTTAGTTCCAGCACCTATGGTGGAAGCTATTTAACAATTACTAGTAGCAGTTCAGAAAGTGAAGAGGAATCTCATGTCCAGTTTACAAAAGAGTGTATTGTGGCCAAGTGTTAGAATTGCCTGGGATTTACTAGGTTTACAGCTATGCTCTTGAATGACTTTTAAACTTTAATGAGTCAAGAACTTGCTATTAAGTGTTCCCTTAAAGCAGTCAGCTTCTACCCAGCCCAGTGACCCTAACACCATGATGGGATATTGATTTAATAGTCGTTCTCAGATAGATTAGTCTCAATTACACCAGTGGAAATCTGGAATAATCCCACTGATCTCCATGGAATTGCTCCGATTCATATGACTGTACCTGAGTTCAGAACCTGGCTCCAAGAGAGGCGATTGCCACTCACTACCTCAACATTACTTCCAGCAGCACCCTAGGGTGTCCTGGAAATCTAGCACAACAGGGCTTGTATTGAAAAATCTAATGAGATCACTGCCCAAGATAGCATATCTGCTATCTTAGATAGCAAGATAGCCCCATGATAGCATGGTGTGGAGGGATAGCTCAGTGGTTTGAGCATTGGCCTCCTAAATCCAGGGTTGTGAGTTCAATCCTTGAGGGGGCCATTTAGGGATCTGGGGCAAAAATCTGTCTGGGGATTGGTCCTGCTTTGAGCAGGGGGTTGGACTAGATGACCTCCTGAGGTCCCTTCCAACCCTGAGATTCTATGTCTGCAGAATATTGCAAATTATTCCTTATTGTGCCCCCAGGATCAGCATTACCATCCTGTCTTATTACTCAGGAACTTAAACTGAATTAATTAAATGAGAGAGAGAGAGAGAGAGATAATGTGGTACTGATTCTGGGCAGCAGCTCTAGAAACTTCTGGGAGTTTTTAAATTTTTATTCTGTTTATTTTCACAGTATCTACTGTTTATACAATGTCACAGCACTATAAGGTCCCTGTTCATACACATGCACATATGCATGCTTACACATAGCCCTCTTCCACACCTGATAGATATGAGAAACTCTCATTAATTGTATCCTGTGGTGGGAGTATAAGGTCCCTGGTTTCACTGAACAATTTCTAGGCCCTGGCTGAAAGCCAGGCATTGGTGTGTGGCTGAAGCCATAAAATTCTTCTGCCTTTCAAGGGTCATTCTCATGATTGTTTCCTCTTTTTCCAGTTCTTTTTGCAATGAAGGAGGATAACGAGAAGGTCCCTACATTGCTAACGGACTACATTTTAAAAGGTAAAATTTACAAACCCCAAACAACCAAAACAACCAAGACAGCTCTAGACACCAGGATAATTTTTACCAACTCAACAATTATTATTTTCTGAAGACCAACAGTGAGCTTGGCCTTTTACAAACATATCCAGAGACCATTTCAGACTGGAAATAAGCCATATGTTTTTAACAATGAGAATAATTAACTACTGGAACAATTAGCCAAGGGTCATGGTGGATTTTGCATCACTGGCACATTTAAAATCAAGATTGGATGTTTTGGGGGAGGTTCTGTGTCCTTTGCTATACAGGAGGTCAGACTAGAGGATCATAATGGTCCCTTCTGGCCTTGGGATCTATGACTACACTGGTCCTGGCCCAAAAAGCTTTCATCTTAACTCAAACAAAACTGCTCAGGTAATGGTAGAAACTCAAGTGGGTGCAAAAATCTTGCATAAGTCATCATTGAACAGCTACATGGAAAAGTGTTTGAAGACCTTGCATTGTGTCCAGCAGGGAGCATAGTGCTGTTATGCTCAATGGGTTTTGGATTAAATCATACAGCCTTCAAACTGCAGGTCATGATGTGGTGCAAAGCAGCACACAAAGAAATAAATTAATTACAGTTGCTTAACATTCATCGTTTAATTTCTCGAACAGTATTTTTTCTGTTCTGCAAATAGTAATAGACATCATTCACAATCATTTAATAATTAAAAGAAATTAATGAGTAATCACTTAGTTAAAAGCACTTATTTAGTATTTAGTACAAATTACAGTAAATTACTTACAGACTATACATTACTTCACTAGGGACAAGAACTGTATCATATTTGTAGACCAGTTTGCTTTACCAGAAACTATAGGATAATTTACTGGTTAATATAATTTTGAATAATTCAGTAATAAATAAAGCAACACAATGAGCAACAACAAAGGTTAAATGTGAATCACATAATATAAAAGATATGTAAAAACAGATGCAGCTAAAGGACCAATTTTATCAGTTTCCCCCTTGAGGAGCCTGTCTCTCACTGAGCTACTTTATACGCCTTCTGCCAAAGGTGATACAACTTCATTCCAGAACCCAAAATGTTAATTAAAAATGGAAGTTTACAAATTTAGGTACAGGGATCTCTTTGACTTATCCAATCATGGTTTCAAATTCAGGGGTAAAACATCAATTCCATTGGTCAATTGGACACACGTTCCCTCCATAATTGTATTTTGTTTGCTGTGTAACCTCCATTTCCCACCTATGTGGTGCTGGTCTATTCCAGGCACTCAGCCGTACTGGGCACACAAGATGAGCCCTCTCTGAGGGTTCCGTCTCGTCCTTGCTAAACCCCAGCTTGGTTGCATGGCCCTGAGGGCATCACACTGGTAAACCAATCTCATGTGCTTCTCCATGCAGCAATCCACAGTAGCTACCTACCACCAGCCATGAAAGTGCCTTACCAGTACCTCAGGTGTCTTGGTCCTAAAAACAGGGTCCTCTAGAACTCGCACCAAGGGGAAACACATTTGGGTTTTGTAGATATTTCTCTTTTTAGTTAGTGGTAGAGAGACATAAACCTGCATGGCCCCTCTAAGAGGGCTGCAGTCAGGAGTTAGCATAACTACCGTAGCCAACTCAAGGAGGACATAAGCTTCTTTTAACACTTGTGTCTCATCCTTATATCAATTTAATATTTGCTTGTCAGTGACATGATCCAGCACTTTCCCTGCCTCCAGGTCTTAAAAAACTTCTTTAAGTCTCATTAATTTGTACATACTGTGACGGGTTGGATCACAGAAACACCCTTGGGAACTGCCAACTGATGTGCCAACAATATTTCTGCCCCTGCTTTCCCTGCCAGCCTGGTACTCCAGCACCCTGTCTTTTTGAGCCAGACATGCCTGTCTGTTCCAACACAGACCCAGGGTCGAAACCACATGCCCCAAAGCTGCAGACTTAACTGAAAGCAACTTACAGAAGTGTTCCTGTCTTTAACGCTCAGATGCCCAACTCCCAATGGGGTCTAAAACCCAAATAAATCTGTTTTTATCCTGTATAAAGCTTATATAGGGTAAACTCATAAATTGTTCACCCTTTATAACGCTGATAGAGAGATATGCACAGCTGTTTGCCCCCTCCCCCCCCAGGTATTAATACATACTCTGGGTTAATTAATAAGTAAAAAGTGATTTTATTAAATACAGAAAGTAGGATTTAAGTGGTTCCAAGTAGTGACAGACAGAACAAAGTGAATTACCAAGTAAAATAAAATAGAACACGCAAGTCTATGTCTAAGAAAACTGAATACAGATAAAACCTCACCAGTTCCAGTAAGCATCCTTTTACAGACTAGTCTCCTTCTAGTCTGGGTCCAGCAATCACTCACACCCCCTGTAGTTACTGTCCTTAGCCTCTCTACCCCCAAGGATGCCTGAAAGAGACAATCTCTTTAGCCAGCTGAAGACAAAATGAAGGGGTCTCCCACAGGCTTAAATAGACTTTCTCTTGTGGGTGGGGGGCCCCCCTCCTCTCTCCTATGCAAAGTCCAGCTCCAAGATGGAGTTTTGGAATCACATGGGCAAGTCACCTGTCCATGCATGACTAAGTTTCTTACCAGCCAAATCACATTCCTGGGAAAGCTCCGATGTGGGTTGGCATCTTTGAGTTCATTGTTGGCTCAAGTGGTTCTTGACTGGGCACTTAATTTGCACATTCCTTTCTCAAGAAGCTGACCAAGGCTATCAAGCAAGTATACAGCCAGTATTCCTAACTTCAAGTACAAAAATGGTACATGCATACAAATAGGAGGAATGTATTCAGTAAATCATAACCTTTACATAGATATGTTACATGGCATATGTAGCATAAAACATATTCCGGTTATATCATATATACATTCATAAGCATATTCCCATGAAGCCTTATGGGGTACACCATCACACATACCCTTGCCCCACACATTACCGCCTTAGCCATAGTATGGTTTTCAGCCTCATCATTATTATGCCCAATTAACTGATTAACCTTTTCCAGGGTTTCATTTAGTGCAGTGGTTTTAAAACTTTTTTTCCGGCGACTCAGTTGACGAAAATTGTTGATGCCCCCCCCCAGCTAAATGGGGAGCCGGTGCTCAGGTCGGGGACAGTATGCAGAGCCCTATGCCCCCCCCCGCCCCCCAGGAGCCAGACCTGCTGCTGGCCACTAGCATGACCTCTGGGACTTTTAATGGCCCGGTCGGCAGTTCTGACCAGAGCCGCTGTGACCCAATGCCTTACATTCCACAACCCAGTACTGGGTCGCGACCCGCAGTTTGAAAACCACTGATTTAGTGCCTTAGAAATATTATGCGTATTTATTATTGTAACTCCTCCTTCAGAGTAGGCGTATGGTACTTGCAAGTCCATTTTACCAGTGTCTCTAGTGTAATTGTAGCCAAATGCATCTGTCTCGCCCTTTGACCACATTGAGTCTCCTTAATACCAAGTTCATACATAGCAGGCATTGGAATTCCTGTTGTCTTGGGTTTCATCCGACCGCCCACTTGTAGTTGTAGTCTGTGATGAGTTTGAAGAGTCTGGTGGCTGGGAGTTCCAGATTGTTTGCTTCACTTGGTTCCGTTTGCATGATCCAGACCCATAGTCCCACAGACAAAAAGTATTCTAGTAACAAAGCCATTCTGTAAAACATCAATGATAGCAGTATCCTGCTTCCCCTTTAAACATTTTCACCTGATTAATGTGTAACCATTTGTCCCACATCTGCTTTCCTTTATCAGTGCACACCACGTACACCGTCAGGCTGTTTTTTTCCCCACAACACTATAAGGACCTTCCTAACTAGGTTGCAAGGGGCGTCCTTTGATCTGAGTCTATTATCCAGGGGAGCCCCCATCTTGTAAAGACTTGTTCTAACTTAACCATACTAGTTTTAGGTAATAGTCCAAGATAGTCAATTTGCAACCTAACCCAAGGTCCTTCTGTTTGTTGATATCCTAATTTGGCCTTGTTTTTTTGTAGACCCTGGATTAGTTTGGACACATACCAAACAGTTCTCAATATAATGTTTAACGACTTGCTTCATCTGTAGCAACCAACCTATTTGCTGAATATGAAACACTGTTTTTTCAGTTCCCTAATGCCCTCCAGTTGGCAGTTTATGATATATGTATATAAATGCAGATTGCAGGTCTTTAGGGATAATCCACACCCATGCATCTGAGCTTGAGCCATCCATCCATTTTCTCCCCAGGGGAACTGTATTATCCTCAGTGGGGTCCCCTTATGTTGTGAGGGTTCTGCACCTCCAACAAGTTTTTGTACGGTGGCGTCTCATTTCTGCAGGCCTGCCAACTCAAAACCCTTCCATTGTATCTTAACAGCACTGACAGGACCTGAGCTGCATTTTCAGCCCTTTTTTTGTTCCACTCCACATCCAGAGATGATTTAGCCTTTACCACAGCCAGCATCATTCCTCTATCCCTTTTGCCAGAGGAATTGACATTATACACTTTTGCATTTATAAACACCAATTATTAAAAGAAAAGATTTGATTGCTTAAAATCAAAGGCGCTTACAATGTATAAAATAAAATATAACAAAATAACCTTGTATCTTAGAAACTTATTACAACCTAAAAAAAAAAAATTAACAGAGGTCTTTTTAGCTTTAATTTTTAAAAAGGCTGATATCACAGAAAAACACAAGTTTTTATATAATTATGTGCAAAATTAGTTTGTTTTTGTTGCAATGAATATAAAACCCCAAATAAAAATGGCCACAGGACACAGAATGTACACAACGTATAAAAAGAAACAATATAGAAAAGGTTATCAGGGTTAGTCAGTGAGAAGAAAGACATACAAGCTGACTGCAGTGAACAGTTGATGCCTAAAAAACCCTGAAGTCAATAACTTCATTTTAACTGAAATTCAGCCAGAAACCAAAGATGTTTTTCTTGAATGACTGAAACAAAACAATTAAACAAATGGTTAAGAAAAACCCAACGTACTCCTGCCTCAGTGCAGGGGACTGGACTAGATGATCTGTCGAGGTCCCTTCCAGTCCTACATTTCTATGATTCTATATTTATTAACATATTAACCCAGTAACCTTTAACTAGTAACCCACGTTC